CCATTTGACTCTCTCCTGGTTTGACACCCACTCACTGACCCAGAAATGGCCCTTTTGTAAACAGCCAGTGTGGTAACTCCCCCCTGACCCATATAAATCAGGTTCACTAGGCAGCTCTGTGAGGAGAACCAAGACAGCTGCTTTTTAAATACATTACACATTATATTTCACATTACACTGACAACAGGGATACACCCAGTGGCTGGTTTGTGATGTGCACCTTCTAGTTAACACTGCTCCTCCAAACAGTGATCTATGTGGCTGCAGCTGAAGACATTCAGAAGACAACCAGGGCTGAGATGTTCAGTTATACTAGACTAAGCCTCAGAACAGCTAAGATGCTTGATATAAACAATTCTGAACATGGTGCAATTATTGATGCCGTAAGTCAGGGATATTCAAATCACGGTGCTCTAATCCCAAGCACTGCTGGTTTTCCAGCCTTCCTTTAGCTGTGAGCTAGGTGTGAAGCCTCTGTGGCCAATCAGAATCAGTGATTATTAAACTAACTACCTGGGAGAACTGATAACACGGCCAGGATTTGGAATCGAGGGCCAGATTTGAAGAGCCCTGCCATAAGTGGTGGATCCAGTATCATAGAAACAGCCACTTTCCTGGAATTAATTTGGGTGCTACAGTGTGTAGAGTTTACAGAGGTTATTAAAAAAAAAATTAGTCAGGGCTTTGCTGTGGATGATGGCAGAGGTCCGAAGAGAATGGCCAGACTCACTAAAGCTAACGGAAAGGCCACAAATACAAAAATCACAGCTCAGTACAACAGTGGTGTGCAGTGGCTTCTCTGAAGCACACCTCTTGTGTCTTTGCAGGGGTTCAGTAGGCAAATGTGGGTCCTACGCGAATTGGTGCGAGCTAAGTGTACCTAATAAAGGGAGCACTGAGTGAACACCCATTGGCTCCTACCATTCTTGGTGGATGAACTTAATGCTGCCGGTACAGACACAGGGATGATAGAGGGGCTTGTCGGGGGTCCCTTCGGACCGACACACCCTGCATATATCAGCTGAAAAACAAAAGCAAATCAATCAGTTCCTTCAACAAGGACAGAAGACAGCCTCTCAATCAATGAGACATCAACCTACATTTAATAACAATAAACTCAATAAGGTTGACAGTCTTTAGGAAACTGTACTTTATGAGCCTAGATGTGGGATGCAAGGATCTACATACCATTTATGCCAAGGTGATCCAAGTAAAAATCAACAGATCAAGAAAATTTTGTTCATTTATAACCTTAGAATGGCAAGAAGGACATCTATAGCAACAGATTTTGTTGAAAGTACTAAAAACAAAGGTTTACATCCAAAAGCAATGCTAATAGATTAGCACTTTAAAGCAGGTCCCAGCTGCTCCTCAAAAGCATCTCACTCAGAGTGATAATCCAACATCTCTGCTGAATATGAATTAACCGCTTGAAAAACGGATGAATGGAGAGACGGGTAGTACAACCGTCGTACTTATGCATCCTAACGTCCTGCAAGCCAGTCGAATGAAGATCTACATTTTCATTCACCACATTTCCCGGCTTTACAGCACACGCTGGGATGACAGGGGCCGCGCGTCAAAACGAAACCTCCAAAGGTTCCCGTCCAAAGGTTTGCAACTTTAGTCAGCTGGCTGGCGTGGGATTTTCAATTCGAGACAAGCCTCACAGACATCTATATGTATGTTTTATTATCTGCCTGTGGGGTTTACAAACTACTCCAACACTTAATAAGATGTAGTTAATTTTAGGTCTATAATGGAATAATATAGATTTGCCTTAAGACTTCTTGCGTGTGTGAGAGACTGAAAGCGTGAGTGCCACGCCAGATGTGTGAGAGTTGGCAACCCTGCGTCCATCGTGAGCAGAAATAAATGCATACAGTAGATATCCACAGCTGCACGGTCCTCGCCAAGTCTTTCTGATCACACAGCTCTGCTCTGCAAGGTACTGGCCGAAGTGTGCAGAAGCACAGGTGTTGAAAGCACCGAGGACCTGCAACACGCCTACACCCAGCTGCATCTCACAAACACGCAAAAATAAACGAGTCCAGGTGGCGATCTCACTCTCCATAGTTACACTGATGGCCGCTGCAACATTTCGGTCCACCTGTCACACACTGCTGATCAGCTCCATATCTGCTATACAAATGACACTCTCTGCAAGTATCAGCCGGCTGCACACAACAGTATATAGATAAGGTTATAAATAAGAATCTGTCTCAGTCTGGTAGGGGAAGCGGCTCTGAGTCACAGCAAATTGGGAAGGCTAGTTGTCTGTCTGGTATGATCTCCTGTAGTTAATAATATCATATCTGCGGCCTTTTGAAACCTAAATGACAAGACAGTGAACGAGAGCACAGGCAATGCTCAGACACGACATCGCTGTTTAAGGTAAAAGGTGGGTCCTGTCAGCGATACCTTCCTCGGCGGTGTCCATCTTGTAGGGTGACGCGCAGATCGGTGGCGCTTTTAGCCTGACAGACGACACATCGGCACGCCGTCTGGGAGCCCTGCGATCAAAACAACTCAATCGGAAACAACGGACACCCCCAGATGAGATCCATGTAGCGGCTATTCCCCGGAGCGGGGACAAACTCTGCTGGTTCAGCACATTAAACTAAATGTAACCATATACTTTGCGGACACCGGGGGTGAAAATCCGCACGGCAACGATCTTTTCGACACTTTGTGACTGCAGACGGCAATGTTTGGTTCTCACGACATTGCTTTTCATTTTACGGCAGCAAAAAAGTTGTAAGGACAGTGGGGTAGTGGAGTAGTCGCAATGTTTGCGGAGGACATCAGCAGCGGAGTGGAACTGGCATTCACCCCTGAAGTGACATGATACAGACCAGCCCGGGGGGTAGTGTCAACACAGGAAAAGACACTAGTAAATAAGTTGAAAATTTATTGTAGTTTCAGAAAATGGCAAAATACTAAATCATACCAACAATTCCTTTTGGTAACAACCTGCTATTGGACACTTTCAGCAATTCAGCAACAGTATCCAACTATGTGCAATGATGCGTGAGTGTGCCCTGTGATGGATTAACACCTTATTCTGGGTTGCTCCTCGTCTTGCGCCCGTAGCCTCTGGGATAGGCTCTGGACCCCCTGCCGCCCTGAACAGGACAAGCAGTTTCAGAAAATGGATGGATGGATGGATAGACCATCAACAGAAATAAAAATAAAAAACGGTTTTAGTTATTCAGTCTATATAAAGAATAACAAACTAGTGGCCGTTCTATGCAGTACGTACACTTTATGGGGTTTAATATGCTCTATAGCCACCTTTCTCCTCAATGATCATCATAAACTGATCGTCCATTGAATCAATCTATTTTTTTATTCAGTCACATTTTATATTAGCTGAGGCTTTTAGGACCGCCTCCCAGACGCTGCCCTGAGACATGTACTGCTTGCCTTCTTGGTCAATCTTATACTTTAGTTAAGTCCCGTAGTTCTCAATGGGGGTTAAATAAGGCGATTAAGGGGGCTAGGTCACAATAACAAAACAACAAATATAAAAGTGAAGGGTGCATGCCATGCATACAGCCATACAGCTCCAGACCCCCATGAAGTTAGCCGAATACCCAGGACGCTGTATAAAAGCCAGGGGCACCCACAGCGCGTACGTGGGGTACAGCTCCAGGCCGCATTGCCACTATTGCCTGTAGGAGTGAATGTGCGTGTGAAGGCTGTATGTACCCTGTGTTATGTTGGTGGCCCATCCTGGGTTAATACATGTACACATGTATACTGTACTACATATGAAAATGTCCTAATCCATGCTTGACACGTGTGACTTGTTTTGGTGATTTAAATTATGTTAGAATCTCATGTCCAGTACTAGTAATCCTGACCAGTATAAGTGTTTGGAACATGGTTGGCTGGATATAGAATTATGTCTGTGTGACAATCCTGTTGTTGGGACAGATATGACACTGTATTTGTCATAGTAGTAAAAGATTTTGTTGAAAATTCATTTAATCATTTTATGCACACGGTACAATGAAACTCCTATGTACATGCATACTACAATGCCAATTAAAAAGAAGCCAGTAAATTCTTTTGACTCCAATAAAACTTACATAGGATTAGTTCTGACTTATGTTTTTTCTTTCTTTCACATAATAATAAAAAAATATTCAATATGTATTAATACCAACAGAACTTGCACTGTTTGTTGAAAAATGTTGTGCTTAATTTCAATCATGTTTAGAGTGCTGACTAAAGCGAAGAATATTATTATATTGACAGTGTCATATTAAAGCATTGAGAAAGCAGAATATCTTCCGGCTTACGCTTGCGTCAGAGTAGCAAATTAGTCAGCCTTCTCAGGATAAATCATGCTGGATATTTAAAAAGATGACTTGGTACCACATTATGCAAAATCACTTAAATTGTAAATGTGCAGTGTAGGCTATAGATTGTAAATGTGCGGTGTATATCGTCCCACTCAGTAGTGGGACGATATGGAAAAATCGATTTGTTGACATGTAACGCAACCATCAGTGTTTCTGGAAACAGAAAGAATTATTAAAAAAAAATATATATATATATATTAGGAGTTTTACATTAGTTTTTCAGGAATCAAACTTTTCTGTCAATTGTGTGGCGCCGTGGCTTAGTTGGTTAAAGCGCCTGTCTAGTAAACAGGAGATCCTGGGTTCGAATCCCAGCGGTGCCTTTTCGTCTTAAGGAAACCCGTAACGTACTAGTTAACTGAAACTGGTTAGTACGTTGTACGTTTGATACCAATAGTGATTTAGTCTAGAGCGTTTTTTCTCTTTTTTCTCCATTTTTTTGCTCACCGGAACCCAGCCCTTGCCGAGGGCTTCACGTTTTAAGCTTTGAAGACAAAGTGGGACAAGCATCAAATTATCCTGATGAACTGTATCAAAAATAAACACTAATGCCTCAAATGGTTTTATATTTAGATAATTTTGGTTTAGTTAAATGGTTGCGCAATATTATTCACACAGTAAAGGGCACGCTCACAGAAAACTGGGAAAAGTCCAAGGGGCGGAGCAGCCAGCCTACAGAAGGAAAGGGGAGACAAATTAAAGCACAAACCGACCCTTGATTCAAGCGGCGGAAGTCCAAAGTCTGGGGGATTCCTGCTTGTTTATTTGGGTCTTTATTCTTTTTTATTATATATTTTGTGATGCACATATTTGACTTATCATAAACATGCATTTTACATAACAATCTTAGCGTAACCGAACGCAAGCAAACGCTGTAAATGAATTTGCATTGGTATCTATTTGGTAAACTGATTGCAGACGCACGTTTCAGGTACGACTGGTTTCGACCTGAAGATCGCTAACGATATAGGAGATACGGATCTGCTATCGGGAAGTTAAGGTATATAATTGTGCTGTGTTCTTTCTTTATGTCCTCCAGTTAAATGAGCAGATGGGGCGGCGTGATTCTTTTGCTGCGACCCTATAAAATGGTGAAACAGCACCTATTAAATGCTGAGCCCACTATGTTACGTTTACAAGTTAGATTTTGCTTAAACGTCGTGCAAATACAGCTGCATTATAATCCGGTGCTGTCTAGCAATGTATTTGGTCACACGAATTTAGTGAGAACATTTTATGCAAGAATTTAGCCATTAAATTTCACATATTGATATGCAGCTATATCACATGCACTTGATTTGAAACGACAGTTATATAAATTTAGCGCGCTGTCCTGGCATGATTTCGGCATGCAATCGACAGCTCTGGGAATGTGATTTTGCCGAGTGTGCAATGCTGACTTTACGTGTTTTGGACATGTTATATTTTAGATGGCAAATGAAGCGAAGCCGTGTCCCTGTGACATCGGGGACAGGATGGACTACGGAGCTTCGGGGATTGAGGTCCAGCTCGAGCACATTGAAGCATATGTGTCACAACCCGCGGTGAAATCCGACAAGGCTATCATCGTCATTCAAGACATTTATGGGTGGCGACTTCCCAACACGAGATACATGGCTGATTTACTGGCTTCCCATGGATACATGTAAATGAATGAGTCCCAGTTTGACACCATATATTTTTTTATTCAGATATATGTTGAACTGAAGTCAATCATATTCAAAGCAAATGATAGAAGAGCAAAATTCTATCAAGAGGATACAAGTATACTTAATGCATATTTTTCTGTGTCTACTATTATGCATTGTTATTTCTTTAATAATATATGTTTTTGTTGGTTTTTTAGTGCTGTTTGCCCAGATTTCTTTGCTGGAAAAGAACCATGGAATCCATCTCATGACTTTTCAACCTTCCAAAAATGGTTGGAAGACCGCAAGGCCACTGATATAAATAAGTAAACATCTATATACCTGCTGAAGAAAACCACAAGATCCGCCAGTATTGTATAGGCCTCCATTTAAATAATACCAATATGCTAGTAACACTACCTGACGGGACACAAATAATATAGTATTATATTATTACTTATGCATTAATTAACCACAGACTAAGTCTTAGTTACATTCTGATCTCATGCTAATTAATGATTAATGAATAGTGATGCATGTTTTATCTCAAGAATTACTATATTTTTTACTATATCTGTTATAATGTTGTAAACTTTTGTGAACTACTGAATGAACTACTGAAGGAACAAGTCATGAATAATGCAAGTGAAATACTGATCTCATATTAGTTCATCATTAATGAATCATGGTGCAACTTTTACCCCAAAGTTACTATATTTACTTTATCTGTTAATTCTGTAAACGCTTGTGAACTACTGAAGGAACTACTAAGGAACTAGTGAAGGAACAAGTAATGAATAACAAGTGAAATACTGATCTCACGTTTGTTCATTATTAATGAATCGTGACATCTTTTATCTCAAGTAGTGGCTATATTTGTTCATGATTTGTACTTTGATAGTAATGGAGTTACAGTATTACTAAATATTTGAGCCCCGTCAAGTAAAGTGTTACCATTGTGGTTTGCTTCGTCACCATTTTAGAGAGGTGGACGTGGTGTTGAAATACCTGGCCAAGGAGTATGGGGTCACACGGATAGCTGTGGTGGGTTTCTGCTGGGGGGGTGTCGCCACGCACCACCTGGTCCTCCGGTATCCACAGATCAAAGCTGGGGTCTCTGTGTACGGTAAGGTCCATTTTGCAGTAGATGTTTAAAAATGGCCACTTTTTTCTTTAGTTGCTACTTGAATGATGATCTTTTGAACATCTTTTGTAAGTTGCCAGCATTTTCTGTGAAGAGTAGTACAGACATTGTATAGTTCTGGGTATACTTTATGCCACGATGATCCATTCATTTTTATCTGCCTGCAGGAATCATCAGAGACGATGAAGACAGGTACAACCTGCGGAGTCCTACTTTATTCATTTTCGGTGAAAACGATGCAGTTATACCTCTCGATCAGGTTAGTGAGTTCTCATTTGTCCATGATCATCCTGATTAGTAATTAGCTAAGGTCTTTGGTTATTTTTCAACCCCCTGGTTTTACAAGGAAACTCAGATCTGAGTTATCAATCTCTTCCACATCTGTGGAATTTAGCACATTGATCTTAACATACTTGTTTCACTTGCTTTTGCAGCCATTTTTGCTCATAATACTCTGATGTTAATTTATCGTCTTAAGACACTGTGTGTTCTGTAAATTTGTCTTGTATGGATTAGCAGTTCTTTTTACATGTATTTTTCTGTGGTGTTCCTCCTGTATGTCTTGTATTATTGCCCTGTACTCCATGCACCACAAACAGCTCTGGTATGTTCATACATACTGGCAAGAAATGTCTGACTTCTGAGCCCTAAAGTAGCTTAACCGTGTTTTTAGGTGACCGTCCTTGAGAAGAAGTTACAGGAAAAATGTACCGTTGACTTCCAAGTGAAGATTTTTCCAGGACAAACCCACGGCTTTGTTCACCGCAAAAGGGAAGACATAAATCCCTCTGACAGCCCCTTTATTCAGGAGGCCAGAATGGACATGCTGAATTGGCTGAAGAAATATGTCTGACGTCTGATCTGAAGGCAATGCAGAGTTGTGATCGTATAGCTGTTTTTGGTAGCCACTGCATAAAAATTGACTTGCAATACCAATATGCATTAATCATGCATTCCGTTTGAATCTGTATTTCAATACATTTACTTCTTTGCGATAACCGATGATTTCATATAGGCATTACTAATCAAATAATATATATATTAATAATCTAAAACAGTTTATACTTTTTCATAAATAAATGGCATTTTCTGACAATATTACTTGTACTTGATGGCAGCTTCGATGGATGCAACCAGGGATAGTGTTCACATTGGGGAACAAAATTATATGCAGAGGAACAAAATTTAATGCCAGGTTATATAATGCTGCATGTTATATCTAGCTATATATTGCATAATTCTGTATTGTAATGGCTCATATTTGCTTCCTGTTTTCCTTTTATGGATAGTGTATTAGACTCTCCACATACAAACTGATTGTGTGTCGAGTTGAGGCTAAGCTACTGTTAAAGAAACTCAACTGCAGTTACTGTATGTTGCTAGTAAGGACACTCCTACTTCTAAGCCAAATCCCAGGTGATGGTAGTGGGGTGTTATCTTCACACTTCTTAAACAAATTTCACCGAGGCCATTCAGTCATTCATCATTGTTTTCACCATCTACGTCCAAATGTCTGGTGAACGTCAGTGAATAAAGACATTCTAAACACATCTGCAATTACATTCAGCCGTATAAAAAGCTAAAACATCTGCATGAAAAACAGCCGAGTAAATTCAAACTAGTGTTGGCCTACCAGTGTAGGATAAATAGATAGATAGATAGATAGATAGATAGATAGATAGATAGAGATGCTTTATTCATCCAGAAGGAAATTTAGGTGTCCAGTAGCTTATACACAGTATACATACATATAGGCACACAGACCTATGACATTCACGCACACATACATACTGCAACAGTACAAGGGAAAATAACAGGAGGGCAGTGTGCTATACAGGCCTAAACACTTAAAGGTGGCTTGGAAACATGCTTGGCTGGGAAATAATTGCAGTGGAACCAAATTCAACCCTATGGTAAAGTATCTTATGGGTACGGGAATTTTTAACGAAGTTAATAATTATCGCAATAAACTCAGCCTACATATGAATATGATCAGTGTTTCTTTATCAGACCTAGAAAATAGTAACATACATTAATGTCGTGTTTTTCTTAAAGATATGCTCTTATCATAAAGCCCAACACTGCTTCTTCGGAAATCTACTTGAGCGATAAAATAATATAAAAGGACAGCGTGTCCTATCGGGGAACTGCAGCGCTGACGGCACGCGCTGACATGCACCGGCTTTGCGTCATTTCCGGTATTACGGGGACTCGAAGGAAAGCGGCCTGGGAAGCGCGTCGCGAAGTTAAAAGACGAAATGGGTGTCGGCTGGTGTCCGCCTGTTCGGCCGTCATATATTCTAGGTGAGGAGCACTGTTATGGTGCCGGTAGTCACGCACGAATGCTGGTTAAGTTTTTGGCACGTGTCCGTGATGTCGCTTGCCTGTCATTACACTTAAGTGTGGGTTAGTAGGTTTAATGTCACTTCTTGTCAGGGATTTAATTACACGGCAGACTTGTGGTAACTAAGGCTATGCACAGCTGATTTGGAATCTGAGGCTAACTAACCAGTTATCTCTGTTGACCTTGTCACGTGTTACTACCGATTTTTTGGGATTCTGTCCTTGGTGACCTATTCTGTGTGCACTTTAAAAACGCCTCTGGCTGAAATAAACGCCTTTATGTCACCCCAACAGAGCGCCTGTCATGCCCTGCGAAGTAAAGACCCGCTTTCTGCTGCTCTACGGATCCCAGCGTGGCCAAGCGCAGTCCATAGCTGAGGAGATACGCGATCAGGCGGAGGAACACGGATTCATCGCGGACCTCTACTGTCTGAGCCAAAAAGAAAGGGTGATTGAGCTCCTTTTAATATTGAGTAAACTCTTATTTACATTTTGAACGTTTGTGGAATGAGACGTTTATTATTCTCTAAGGGGACATTGAGTCGCACAGTGTTTCGACAATTAAGTAACAACATATTTGTAAGCAAAAGCACCAAACTGTGATCTTGTATGCACGATGACGCTAGTCGTTATTGTGCAGCCTTGTTTATTTATTACTTTTTTTTCTTGCAGTATAACCTGGAAAAAGAAATTGCCCCCGTTGTTTTTGTAGTATCTACTACTGGCGATGGAGAACCTCCAGATACTGCCCTTAAGTTTGTGAAGGAAATAAAAGACAAGACCTTGGCCAGTGACCACTTCAAACATCTACGCTATGCCCTCTTAGGTAGCAAATTTCATTTCCACACGTTGAGTCCGAATGACGCGCTGCTCTAAATATTGAATGATATATATATAGTTAAATCATTCTGAAAGACCCTTTTTAGAAATGGACTTGATGAAAGGCTAACAGTTGACTGTAGTTGCTGACCTCATGGATCTTTAAAAATGTTTAATGAAGGTTACCCATGTTTTGTCCACTCAAGCATTGGGCGACACAAACTATACATATTTCTGTGAATGTGGGAGAATCATTGACAGACGTCTGGCAGAACTTGGAGCCAAACCCTTCTATGCTACAGGATTTGCGGATGATAGCGTGGGGTAAGATGAATCTTTTTTTTATTTATTTATTTTTTTAATATGAGCACATTAGAATATTTTTAGTGTGCTTACATATGCGTCTATTATGGTGTTAAAGGGTGGCACGCACCTCTTGTTGTTTTTTTTTTTTTTGATATCACTCAGATTTAAATATATGCATGCCCCCTTCAAGTAAAGTGTTACCAACTTTTCCTTTGTGTTTTTAGACTGGAAATAGTGGTGGATCCGTGGATCAAAGACCTTTGGGACGCTACAAGAACAGCTTCATCAGAGATGTCCACTTCAGGACAAGAAACAGCTGGCTGCCTGGAGTCTGTTCCAAACGGCGATCTGGCAACCCGGGAGGAACCAAGTGCCGATAATTCAGGGGCGAGCTTGAACATCCACCTCCTCAGCCTCAGTGATGTTAATGGTCCAGCCCACGAGCTTTCACAACGTGGACCAGCAGAGGAGGAGTCTGGCACAGAACATACCATACTGACCCGCTCCTTGCCCCCGTTGTCGCAGTCTGCCCTCAACGTGCCCACTCTGCCCCACTCTTTCATTGATGCCCAGCTGTTAGATGGCTCTGCAGAGGAGGTACTCTGTCCTGTTGTCCTTCTGTGGGTGACCACAAGGTGGCTGTTGCCTAGAGATAAGCTTCTTCAAAGCTTTGCAGCTAATAGTACTTGTTAAAATGATTCTTGTTCTTTGGTTGGCTTGGTTATCACTAGTTTTTGCCGGTGTGTAGTTTCTTTTTCTTTTTTTAAGCTTCCTACCATTCTGTAGAACCTCTCTCAGTGCTGTCGCTTTATTACACTGTTCACTAAATCGCATTACTGGGTAGGGGGAGTCAGATGAGATGCGCAGGTTCTGGGGGGCGTCTAATTCCCTCCGTGAGTTCCAGTGAGCAGATGAAAACGTTTTGCATGGGGCGACTTTGTGTTACTCATCAGCAGTGGGCTAGATGCGACACGGAGAGGCAGGCGTAGTGGTGCATGTGCAGATGCTGATTCTCTGCCGCCTTCTGCCCTGTTGTCGTCACCGTTCTCTGAACTGAACCGACAGCTTTTCTTTTATGACTCAAAGCAAACTTCACTGCTTTCAGTACTGGCTGCCCTCCCTGGTTTTTTATTTTTTATTTTTTCCAGTTGCTTGAAAGTTCAGTTCATTGTTTATGTGTAAATGTGTTTGAGGAGCTAAATGAAATATAGCTATTATTCTTTTTCCAATACACCACTTTTCCACCTCTGCCAACCCAGTACCATTTATAACAAGACTTTTTTTTCTTAGTATATTGAGTGACTTGTTACACTGATCTAATCAACAATCAATTCCCAGATCTGTGAATTACATGCAAATTAAAATGTCTTGTATTAGCCCTTAAAAAGAGAACTGATTGAATGTTCCTAGACCTCATGGGAATCTTGCTAAAGTGTGTATAGAAATCGTTCTGGACTAATAGCAATGACTATTGTAAGGCAAGAGGTAAACTTTGTGTATCCTAAATAGCACTTCTCAGAAATCTCATTTTAAAGCCTAGAGTAATGATCAAGTAGAGGTCTAGATGTGGTATTGAGGTAATTAATATGCAGCACTGTCTTTTTAAGTAGTTTGTATTCAGTCCTCATATCAGTTTCTCTTCGCCTCCCTTCAGAATAACGGGCCGTGTCGGAAAGAAGGCGTCTATGAGGTACCTGTGACCTCAGCCGTCCAGCTGACCCGAGAAGACGCTGTGAAGACGGCCCTGTTGGTGGAGCTGGATGTTTCTGTGAGTCGTCTCGCTCCGTGGTCCCGTAATGAATCTGCCTGGCAGGGTGGTGGTGCCGAAGCGGGTTCAAGGCAGGCCTGCTTACATGGGGCCTGCCACTTAGTGAATTTACTGGTTTCTCTGGGCATCAGTCAGTGGCTCAGAAAAGGAACTGCAGACACACAGAAAAGGAAATGGAACCTCTGATATACACTATGTCCTCCTGAGACCCCACGCATTCATTTATGTCCATTGTAGTGGACATTTTATTTTTGCATATATCTTTTCACTGATGTTAGGAAACATATTTATTCCTGTTGTGCACTAAAGAGGACATGCTGTGAAATTTAAAAATAAAAATGTCTTATTTCCTCCAAAGACAGAAAATCACAATTAACCTAAAACTAAAGGACACTTTTTTTTTTTTTTCCTTGGGTCTCAGGAGGATGTGGGCAAAAGTATTGGGAACCCTGTCCATTACACCAACAGGAAGTTTTATGACATCACGTTCTAAATACATAGGCATCAATATGGAGTTGGTCCCCCCCCCCCTTTGCAGCTGTAACAGCTGCCAGTCTTCTGGTAACACTTTACACTAGATTTTGGAGGATGTCATTGGTTCCGAAGAGCATTTTTGAGGTCAGGCACTGATGTTAGATGTGAAGGCCTGGCTCGCAATCTCTATTCTAATTTTTCCCCAAAGGTGTTCGATGGGGTTGAGGTCAGGGCTCTGCGTAGGCCAGTCAAGGTCTTCCACACCAAACTCATCCAACCATGTCTTTAAGGGCCTTGCTTTTTGCGCTGGGGCACAGTCACGCTGGAACAGAAAACAGCCTTTGCCAAGCTGTTCCCACATACTTGGAAGTATGGAATTGTCCAAAATGTCTTGGTATGTTGAAGCATTAAGAGTTCCTTTTACTGGAACTAAGGGGCCCAGCCCAACCCCTGAATAAAACCGCTTACCATTATCCCTCCTCGACCAAACTTTATAGTTGACACAATGCAGTCAGACAGGTAGCGTTCTGGCATTTGCCTAACCTAGTCTCGTCTGTCAAGAATGCGTGACAGAGAAGTGTGGTTCGTCACTCCACAGAATACGTTTCCACTGCTCCAGAGTTCAGTGGCGGTATTGTTGACATTGTGCTTGGTGATGTGAGGTTTGCATGCAGCCGCTTGGCCAAGGAAGCCCATTCCATGAAGCCCCGGTGTACAGTTTGTGCTGGGGTTAATGCCAGAGGAAGTTTGGAACTCGGCAGTTATTGAGACAACAGAATGTTGCAGACATTTATGCACTGTGCTCCTCAGCACTCGGCAATCCCACTCTGTGCCTTCACATGGTCTGCCGCTTCGTAGCGGAGTTTCTGTTGTTTCTAAATGCTTCCAGTTTGCAATAATACAACTAACAGTTGACGTGGAATATCTAGCAGGAAAGAAATTTCATGAATTGACTTATTGTAAAGTGCTATGACAGTACCACACTTGAATTCACTGAGCTCTTCAGAACGATCCATTCTTTCGCAAATGTTTGTAAGCCTGATTGCATGGCTAGGTGCTTGATATTATGCACCTGTGGCAATGGGTCTGAATTCAATGATTAAGAGGTGTGTCCCGATTACTTTTGTCCAGATAGTGCACCTGCATTCATACACACATTCATACCTACAGACAATTTGGCTACATCACCGTCTTTATACACCTGTGGCAAATTCCTAACTAGATAAAGGCCCATCTCGTTTTCTCTGCCCATTTCCCCCAGTTCATTAATCCGCAAATCCGAAAAATGTACCCAGCCTGTCCTCCTGGAGGCAGCCGTGCAGCGATCATTAGCGTTTTCTTCGTTTTCATTCAGGATCTCGACATCCACTACCAGCCCGGGGACTCACTCGATGTGCACTGCCCAAACAGCGAGGAGGAGGTGGCAGACCTGCTGGGTCGCCTGGGCCTGGCGGGTTGTGGGAACCACGCCGTGCAGCTGCGGCTGCAGGCCGACACCAAGAAAAAGGGTGAGAGATGAGGGCGGCCGGGTCGGCCATTAGCTTATGAGCTTCGTTAGCGTGGTGGTGGCCGTGCAGGCTCGCGGAACATCGTTAACTCGTTGTCGTCCCGACAGGCGTGCAGATTCCCAGTCACATCCCAGAGAGCTGTTCCCTGCAGTATCTCCTCACCTGGTGCCTGGAGATCAGGAGTGTCCCCAAAAAGGTGCTGCTTTTACCTAACCTGGTGGGAGGTCTGGGCAGTTCCCAAGGCTGCTCTTTGGCTTTGAGCAGAAATCCCTACTGCTGATGCGTAGCCAGTACACCTGACATGTGAGCCTAGCTACAGCATGTGTGATGCTTCTCCCCAGGCTTTCCTCCGGTCCCTGGTGGACTGCACGGCAGACCCCGCCGAGAGACGCAGGCTGCAGGAGCTGTGCAGCAAGCAGGGCTCGGCCGAATACAACAGGCTCGTCAGAGACCCTGGCCTCTGCCTGCTGGACCTCCTGTATGCCTTCCCCTCCTGCTCGCCTCCCTTGAGCCTCCTTATAGGTCAGTGAGCACATTCAGCTGCATTTTGAAGCATTGATTCACAGTATGTGTATTAAATGTTTCACAAAATGGCCAGTAGAGGGCAGTAGAATCATTGCTATTCGCGATCTATGTAACAATAGCCCCACTAGTCATTGTGTCATTTATCAGCTGAGCTTCCATGAGCTTAATTCTTGTTTGTAAAAAATACCATTTGCACTGTTCCTCTTTAAAATAATTTTTAGAGATTGTCAACATAACTTGATTTAAATATGTATTTTCTATTTTGAGTCTTGTTGCTCATGTCATGCATTGCTGCTGTGTAACTTTACTAATCTAAACATTGTGCTAAGCAAGCTCGTTTTTAATGTGCCTGAGCCGCCTCGCATAAAACCAGGCAGTGCAGGAAGGAGGAGAATTCTGGGGATCAGTTTCCTGTAGGTCTGCCTTCTTAACGTCTTTTTATAAGCAGGCCGTGACTCACTTCACTGTCGCCGGTGAATTCTCAGTGGATGTAATGCACTGCCTCTGCGCTAGTTTGTCCATGTCGGAAAAGAAAAATAATCGTATATCTTCCACTTTAATGTGGTTTCTTGGCTATGGTGTAGAGCAGGGGTCTCAAACTCCAGTCCTGGGGGGCCGGAGCCCTGTGTAGCTTAGTTCTTTCCCCCTTCAACCACAAATGATTCCGCTCAAGAGCTGTGTGGTAATTAGCACAAGGAGTTGAATCAGGTGTGTTAAATGAAGGTGAACCAAAAACTGTGTAGGGCTCCGGCCCCCCAGGACAGGAGTTTGAGACCCCTGGTGTAGAGTCACGGGCACAAACAAGTTTGGTTTTACACCGTCTGCTAGTTAGTTAATGTTAAAGGTGACGTTCAGAAGAGTTTTAAGGTTCTAGCTGTATTACATTCAGAACAATACATTTGCATCCAGACAAATACCACATAGTGTTTATTATGTTTATTTGTTTTCGTTAAAATAACCATCATTGCACCATTTCCCTGCCTCTAACACGCATGTGGTGTCATTTTCATGAATAAGTGCAGTTTGAACATATGCTGTGAAGCATCTCTGACCATGATGTTTAGCATTTAACCTTAAGCAGACCACTTCAGGGCTTTTGACCAGGTTACTCGCTGTGCTTGGCTTATGTGCTGTTTCCTGTGGTATCCATGTGGATAAACTGCAAGCATTGTCAGATAGGCCATAGAATCCAAGAACATGAAAAATAAATATTGCCTTTATATTTGAAGCCACGCCGCTATAATAGTCATGCACAAAATTGCTTTTCTTAGGAGTATGAAAGAGCCTATTGACAGATTTGGCGCCCTTTGCAGTGATTTGAGTCAGTCTTCGTGTCTGCTTTATTTGTTTGTTTTTGTTTGTTTGTTTTGGTGATGGGAAGCTAACTGCAAGGCAAGGTCTAAGGTGTGAACGACCTTGCGCGTACAGCATCAAGGGCGAACCCGATCTATTCCCATATGTCGGACTGTGCCAGTTTCATTTCCGAACCTACAGGGGCAGCTATGATGCCAAGCTCAAAATGTGCACCTCGAAATAGATGGTACCTCAGTGTTCTTTTTTTGGCCGGGAGGTGAGAGAGTTGGCATGCATGGATAGGCTTTGGACGTGTAGGTCTGTGGACCACAGTCGATCCTTCATTATTGTCCGAATGCTTTTTTTCTCTGCATTACCAAGCAAAGCTCTATACCCTTGTCTGCTTGATTAATTTTCTTAATTAGTGCCTACAATGGTATTAAACTGTTTTCAGCTATGGTTTTCAAAAAGGCCTTTCCTCTTTGCATCACACTGAGTAAATTGAAATAATTTCCTTTTTAGAGCACTTGCCAAAACTACAGCCGAGATCATACTCAGCAGCGTGGTAAGTCTGTAATTGTGCATTACTTTAAGATCATTTTCTAAAGCAGTGGCTTTAGAAGCATATTTCTCAGCCTTTCTTGCGGACGTCTTACAAAAAGCAGGTTATTTCCATGTTTCGAATGAACAGATTGCTTTCTGACAAACTCTGCGTAATAACTTGTGGAGTCTCCCCTCATTGTCCCGGTAAGTTTTTGAATCTGCAAGACAGGAGGTGGTTTAAAGTGTTGGCCTCATTTAAAACGTGTCAGTCGCTTGCATGCGGTTCCCAAAGATGACTCCCGCTACTAAGCGGCTTACTTTTGTGAGACATCCCTGGCATCCCCTATGAGCTACTGCAGGTATACTGGCAATGGGCAAGAGGTAAACAATGAACAGTTTGGCCAGCAGGGGTCTCCAGAGAGAAGGGCCGCTGGCCCTGGGCCGAGCCCCTCGCCCGAGGACTCATCCCGGCTCCGTCACCCTCCACAGCTCCAGCCTCCGTCACCCAGGGAAACTGCATATTGTATTCAACGTGTTGGAGTTTCCACCATGCCCTGGACGTCCCATCAGCAGGAGAGGAGTGTGCACAGGGTGGCTGTCGGATAAAGTCTCACCCATCCTCCGCCCCCACGGGGCGGCCGAATCCCGTTCAGGAAACCCTGACCTTTCTGACCCCCTGAAGGTGAGCTGAGCTCAAAACGAGACTGACTTTTTGGGGACAGAACGAGGGATTCGTCCTCTGCTTGCTGCTGTGACTTAAAGGCCATGAACAGAACGTGCTGCTCTCTGAGCGATGGAATGACTGGTGCCGTTTCGGCCCACTTGGGCCCCGTGTGCTTCCCAGGTGCCCGTGAGCCTCCGCCCCAGCTCTGCCTTCCGCCTGCCCGCCGACCCGAGCGTGTCCCTCATCATGGTGGGGCCCGGGACAGGCGTCGCCCCTTTCATTGGCTTCCTCCAGCACAGGTATGAGGTCTGCCGTGTATACACACAGAAATGGGTCATAATAAGCTTACCTCTGCTTGCTTGCCAGCGAGGTTGCAGATTTTGGTCCCAGAGTTCCCTAGCAGCAGCTCCTATGGATTTCCAGTGCTCAGACAAGCATGCTGACATGTTTCTCCATCCTGTATTCGCATTCTTTATACTCAGATACCAAAAAGTTATGCCGGAATATTTCAACTTCAGGCAGGGGGGGTGGCCCCAGGATCATCGCTTTCCCGTGTAAGGAAATGTGAAGTGAAAATAAGTCAATTTTAGGCAAGTGATAACCCCTGGAGACTCAATTAACTTCCAGTAAAGAAAACATCCCACAAACTCTTGGTATTACCGACGTGCTTCATAAGTCTGACACCTGTGGGCGAAAGTAGAGTCCTAAGTCGGCTCCTTGCTGCACTGCGTACTCGATACAGATGTTGTCTTGTACCATAGGGGCTCGTGTCAAGTACACCTTGCTTATACTTATTAATTTATATGCTGGACAAATTCTTGGATACAGACAGGGGTATCACAGTTCAGAGAACAGAACTCATCCTCTACGAATGTGTATTTTCATCAACCGCATGTAATACCACCATAAATAAAATTACTTAGCCCACACTTTTTTCCAAAGCAAGCAGGGTCAGACGGTCCCTGGAGCAACTGGGGATTAATGGCAGATCTGGAATTTCAACCAGTGACCATCCAGTTATAGACTTCAGCTTCCTAATCCACTGAACCATGCACAATAGCCCCTTGCGATAGTCTGTAAATGATTTCCAGTGTTTACATGTGACTCGATTTTAAGGTCCTAATCAATTGATCGCTGCTTGTTACATTACTAAGCACCACTTGGGATTTTGAGGAATTATACCGGTTGAACTTGTGATCTGCGGAGTTCGTCACGTAACCAGAAGTACTCAGAATGAAGACACAAGGCCCAGGAGCTTACTAAGGGATGGAGCCCTCTGGCCTTGTCCACATGAACCAAACACTGGGAGAGGAGCAGCAGTACGAGCTGGATGACCTGCGCGATGACCCGCCGACCTGCTAGATGACCCGCCACGTCGGCAGTGCTCTCTGGAGCTGATGAATGCGCCCTGGGGCCCCTCTGATCCCCCGCACGTGTGCCACAAGGTCGCCATGGTGCTCTAGTGTACCGTCCGCTCCATCACCCACCGCTCTCGTCCTTGTCCCGAGCGGACTCCTCGCAGCCTCGTATTTCCTGACAGTTTATTATTTCTTTAAATATATACGTCCCAGATGTGCGTAGCCGCAGTTACAGCTCGCTCGTCGTGTGCCCCTGCAAGGGGGCCAGTCCCCATAGGCCGAGACGCCACTATTCAGCCTTAATACAAACAGATGTAAAATACCGGGGCCCCTAACCATAACACATGGTGTCAGCAGTAGGAAGGACTGATCCAAAGCTAATTTGGGTGGTGCCATTTTCTCTGGGGTGGAGGGGCTGGCTGGACTGTGCTGCTAATCTGTCAAATCGCGGCACGGTCGACTTTCCACATCTGGTAACCTCAGGAGGACTGAGATGCTGTTCCTTGCAGAAAGAGGCTTGTACCCTTTTATAAAGGAATAGCACATTGTGTGTTCATTTTCTTCTGGTCGACGTGAAATTTTTGTACTATATGTTGTGTGGCCCCCGGTTTCACTGCTATCAGCTCTCTAACCGGAGGGACCTGAGAGGCCTTCATTAATTATAAAGCCTAATTGAGCATATTCTGTGCTTCACGTGGCCATGGACTGAGTTTAAGGGATTGGTAAATCTGGTGGTTTAACCTCAGAAGATGCATGGCAACCCCTGTTATGCTTAGTTCAACTTTTGTGTTTCTCAAGATGCTTCCAGAACTTAGTTTTAAATGCAGAGGAACTATTCTCAACACATTTGACCTTCAGAGGCTGGAGACTAGGCCCTCAGAATTTTAATAAAATTTAAAATCTGTGTGTGTATTGAAGATGAAATGGAAGACTTGTTTTCATGGTGCATATTCTGTGTCTGCAGTCAGAGAATCATGCGACCTGCTGTGGCTGTTTCAGTGGTTTTCATTATTTGACTGATTCTTTCATCCAGAATTGTGCGATTTTTACACATCCAAACAGCTGCATGTGTAGCAGGATCATTCATCTTACGTGCCTCAGCTGAGAGTATAACTGCTGGAAATTCTCCCGGAGCTCAAACCTGGGACTCAAAATGGTCACCTTACAATTTGAGCCCTTCATCCATCCCGCCACCGGTGAGACACACCCGAAAAGGCAAGAGACCATTGTTCCAGTCGAACGTTGGAGTACATTTTTAGACTCTGGGAGTTCAGTGTGGTTTTGTGAAGCCTTTCAGTGACATCAGGAAATTTAACTCGGAGAATCCCCTGTCCCAACAGTTTTAAAACGAGAAACTGCATTTTGTTTTTAGTCCATTCACCATGGGGCGTTCCTTTTGCATCATGATTTCCAAAGCTACTTTCCTGAGATGTCCATACTTCCCGTAACAATGGACTCCTTTTGAACGTGTTAAAGGAACTGTTTTCAATCATGGCAAGGCATGTAGAAGCTTTATGAAGCTTTTGTCCTCCATTGGATGCAACGTGGTTTTGGGTGAAAGCATTGAGAATGAACTGCGTTGAGACGCAAACTTTAACAATTGCACTTGGAAAGCCAGTTGCTTCATTATATAGGCCAGACTGTCATTGTTTAAAAAATATTGCTCTTAGCTGTAGAAGTATTTTTCTTAGGTTAGCTTTCTGTTCTTTGCAGAAACAGAAAGCTTCATTTGTATTCATGATGATGTTCTTTCGCCTCACCGCCTGATGTAGAACGGAGACCAGGTTTTCATATTGCTATCGATCCCCTTTTGACTGCAAAAAAGCCTACTAAACCTATTTTATTGGAATTCATTTCCTGATTGGATGCCGAGCTCCCAGATGATAAAAAGCATACTTTGGGGAGCTTACGTTTCTCGCAGGTAATTGCACCCTACAGTGCACAGACGATCCAGGTCATGCCACACTTTGGCTGAGTAGCTAGTGGTTTTAAGGGTAAAGTTCTTTTCTTTCGTTCAGAACTGTGGGAGGGCTGCCAAGACGTTTTAAATTAAGTTAAGTTAAAGCCAAACATCCGCTGACGCACTGAGGCAGCAAGGTTGGGTAGCGCAGATGTTAATTGCAAATCATTTCGTCATTAAAGGCAACCATCTATACATGAGGAAACAATCACTTGAATCTGTTACTTGATTAGATAGTGTTTATTTTTTTTTGTGTGTGGACCATTTCCATCCATCCATTTTCCAAAACCATATATACTATTCAGGATCGTGGGGGGGTCCGGAGCCTATCGTGGAGACTATGGGCACAAGGCAGGATTCTGTAAATGAACTTGAAATGGTGGAATTAGTAGAGATTTTTAATTTGTCAGTTTAATACCCCTACCAGGGGAGAAGCCCTTCTTGATCTTGATTTCGCTAATAACCAGGATAGGATTGGAAAATTAGAGGTTTTAGAACCATTGGACGGTAGTGATCACAGCATGGTTAAATGTGAGGTTAATTTTAGTGTCCTAAGAGCAAAGTCCAAAACAAAAGTATACAATGTTAGGAAGGCTAACTTTAATGGTATGAGACTGAAACTAGATACTGTATACTGGATGAAGTTAAATAGCAAAACAGTTGAAGAGGCGTGGGAATTTTTTTTAAAGTACATTGTTGAAAGTGCAAGAGGAATTCATACCTGTTTTTCCAGCAAAACTAAATCTAGGAAACGACAACCAAGGTGGTTTACTAAGGAAATTAAGAATAAAGTCAGGAGGAAAAGGGCTCTGTTCCACAAATGGAAATTAACTAATTTCAAAATAAAGCAGGAGTATCTAACTCTACAGGTCGAGTTAAAAAAACAACTTTAGACTCTCCAAGAGGAATGTAGAAAGAAAAATTGCATTGGAGGCTAAGGATGACAGTTTCTTCCAATATTTTAACTCCAAAAGAGCTCTAAAAGCTGAAATCACTAATTTGCAGGATAGTAAAGGCCTTATAATTGAAAATGAAATTGATATAGTAAATGAGTTTGATTATTTTACACGGGTGTTCACAGTAGAGAACATGAGTAACTTACCACCATTTAATGGTCGTCTTTGACCAATATATGTATAACTGAGGCTAATGAGTTATTAAGCCTAGCTAAGCTCAAAATAAATAAATCGCAGGGCCCTGACGGCATCTTACCTATAGTTTTAAAAGAGATGAGGGATATTATTAGCCAACCTTTAACTTTAATATTCCAGAAATCATTATCTGTGGGTGTGGTACCTTCTGATTGGAAGCATGCTAATATAATGGCCATATTCAAAAAAGGAGGTAAAAGTAATCCAGCAAACTATAGGCTAATCAGTTTTAATTAGCATTACTGGAAAAATAATGGAAGCTATAATCCAAGTGAAAATGGTAGCTTACCTGGATGCAAATAACATTCTGAGGGATAGCCAACATGGATTTAGGAGAGGTAGATCCTGTTTAATGAATCTACTTGAGTTCTTTGAGGAAGCTACAAGAGAAATTGATCACAAAAAGGCCTACGATGTGATCTAACTAGATTTCCAGAAGGCCTTTGATATTGTCCCCCACAAATGGCTCTTGCTTAAGCACAAAGCTTCAGGGATTTCAGGAACTGTGGCAGCTTGGATTGAAAACTGGTTAACTGACAGGAAGCAGCGAGGTAGTTATTAGACGCACAATGTCACAATGGGTCTGCGTTCATAGTGGGGTACCGCAGGGTTCAATTTTAGGACCACTATTGTTCCTAATTTACATTAATGATATTGACACCAATACATACAGTAAGTATGTTGATGCTTCCATGTCCCACTCTCACCAGTGTGGGGAAGCAATAAAAAAGGCCAATAGAATGTTAGGTTACATCTCTAGGTGTGTGGAGTTTAAGTCAAGGGAGGTGATGCTACGATTATAGAATTCCTTGGTAAGACCCCACCTACAATATTGTGTGCAGGTTTGGTCACCATACCTTAAGAAGGACATTGCTGCCTTGGAAAAGGTGCAATGTAGGGCTACGAGAATGATTCCTGGTCTTAGAGGAATGTCTTATGAGGAGAGGTTAGCTGAGCTGAATCTGTTTAGCATTGATTATTTTCACACACCCACACACACACTATTCACCCGGACATGAACACCTACGGGCAATTTGGTAACTCCGTTAGCCTTGGCATGTGTTTCAGTTGTGGGGAGAAACTGGAGTACCTGGAGGAAACCCCACAATGACACGGGGAGAACATGCAAACTCCACACACACGGAACCCTGGCGGAGACTCAAACACAGGTACCGGGGTGGTGAGATTACAGTGCTAACCACTGATCCACTGTGCCACCCCTGTGGCCCATTTCCCCCTGGGAAATTAAATCTAAAGTCATTACTGACAAATTTAACCATGTCAGTGTTAATAATGCCTCTGTGTCAATGATGGGAGACATCCTGCTCCTTCATCTTGGTCATCACACGAAGGCTAAATCTTATTTATGTCAGTTTGCAGAGTTCTCAGTTTGCTCTGTTTATCGTCGTCTTATTTTTATTTTCAGGAGGATATAAATTCATATGAATTGAGCATGATCCTCGGAGGTGACAGTCGAAAGTTCTAGAACTCTCTGCTGTCCTGTTTCCATCCTGTTATGTGATCCGATAAGTCAAGCTTACAAGATAAAAAGCATCCTGTGTTCCTTAGGTTGTTGGAATTTTATTATAGAATAAATTGTCGACCTCAGAATCAAACGGCTTTCAGTTTGATATTTACGCAAGTATTCCTGATGCTCATATGCATTGTCAATTATAGCGTGTATATTACCTTTGTCAGAATACTGCAGCCCAAGTTTAGTCTCTGTTGAAATGTGAACGGCTGCAATGCCATGAAAAGGTCTTTGCCTTCTATCTGATTTCCAACACGTGTATATTTTTGACAACAGATTCCATCAGATCTTCACCTAGAAGTAGGCATTACATAAAAAGTTCATCTGCGTTTTAAAACTCAGTGCAACTGAACTTTATTTTCCCCCAGGAACTGTTTCCAAATGCAGAATGTCAATACAAACGATGTGGATGTAATTACCCGGGGTGTTTGTGTTTGAGTGTTACCGGCTGTAGCTGTGTCCTCTTAGCCAGAAGGTTACAGGCTTGAGTTCCAGGAAAGGCCCGACTTTTGTACCCCATCTAATTGAAAGCATCCAGCTGTCTGAAAGGGTATCAAGTTCTGCTGCTATAGGTAAAACCATCAGTAAAATATCTGATTTAATCCAGTTTCACACAGAAAATGACCACTATAAATACCTATGCACTTGTTCATTGTCTGCATTAACCATGTCATGAGTTCTCACACAGGTCTGTAACATGATATGGTGTGACTCGTATGTTTAGTCTGTGTTCTGCACCCAGTACAATCTTGTCAATCTATGCCATTCAGCTAAAGCAGCGTCTCTGAATTGCCTTTAATCAGTGAGCTAGTCTTTGTGAGTCTACTGTTAATTAATTTCCCCCAAATTCCACTGAACTGTTATTGAAAGGATTTCAAGTGTGAGGTGGAATTGAAGAGGGGTTGTGCAGATGGTTTGCTTGGTTAACTGTTCCTGACCATGATCTTCTGAATGAATTGAAGTTAAGCTGCCCAGGCTTGGCTTTAAGTATTTCAGAACACACAGATACTAGATTGGCTCATAAATTTACATTGAAAACATGTTCTTTTCCCTATCTGAGAAATAACATACAAACAAAACAAAAGAGATTATTAAATTTGTTGCATTGTATTTCATTGTAATCTGTTTGTATAACCCTGTTTTTGTAGCGTAGGGTTCTCTGGTTCTGGTACTGGAGGACCAGAATCTCAGTTACTACACACCTACTACACCTGGCAATTAGCTGATTAAGATGCGTTTGATCAGGGAATTCTGGCCCCCCAGGAGCGGAATGGGGAACCCTGTCAAAAAAAGAATTCAGGGAGCAAAAAAAACTTTATTTACCGAAAAAGGCTATTTTTTGCTCATTGTATTTTTTTATTTTTTATTTTTAAGACTCCCTTATAACCCCCCCCCCTTCATTTTACTTCAGTACTGAACCAGTTTCATAGTTATAGTGAGCCTCCCTGGATATGTAGTCTAATGCGACATGTATTCGGGGGGGGCGGTCTTAAAGGGGCCTTTCAGTATGCCCTGAGCAGCCCCCACTGGCATCGCACTCCACATGCTCTCCACGCTCTCGGCGCCCAGCCAATGCCAGGCAGCAGGTGTGGCGCCTTGATAGTCTCCGGTGCCCCTCTGTTATGACTCATCGGTCCAGAGCCGCCTGGGCCTTGTTCCCCCAAGAAAAATCCCTAACTTTTAACATGCACATATTTTAACCAGGGGAAAAGTTGCCTCATCTCAGAAGCTGAGTAATTCCCCATTTTCCTCTAGTTTCCTGGTATAGAGCAAAGGTTATGACTGGATACTGGTCCCTGATAATTAGCCAAACTGGGAATTGGATTCTTAGTGTATTAAGATGCCTAATCTGTCTTCTGGCCTGTTGCTGTCAGCTGCACCTGTTATACATGTTTGAGTCAACTTTCCCCTAATCATGTTCTTTCCTATGCTGAATCCCAGAGTATCGTTTATTATGTAAAGTCACGACTTTTTTCCTGCAGGGAGAAACAGCGGCAGCAGGACCGGGGGACAACTTTTGGGGAGACGTGGCTATTCTTCGGCTGCCGCCATGAAGATCGAGACTTTCTCTTCCGGTAAGGGCACCTTGGTATACACTATACAGCACGCCCACGTCGACCCGCCAGTTGTTTAAGCCGATCTGTGATGGGGGGGGGGGGTGAACGAATACATGGCGAGAGCAGTGTGTCCGACATCAGCAATGCGAAAACCACGAGACCAGACGGGCAGAGGGACAAGGGGACGCAGCTAGATTGCTATCATGTAGTGAAGAGAAGCTGGAATGATGCGAAACTGTGTCATTGTTTAAAAAGTAATCTGTGTGCAATTTGTTTTAAGACGCTGTTGAAAAATTGCTTTCATATCCCTGTATGCTTAACCTAGTATGTTTTGTTTTAAGTCTCTTCAGGATCTCTATGCTCATTCCCTATAATTAGTATTTTTTAAAAAGATAAACGTATAAAGTCTTTATTTCCTCTCTAATACAGAGTTTTATATTGTATGCAAATATGTACCATATACGAATATATTGGAGTATTAAAAAATGTGCCACGTACTGGCAGGTTTGTTGAGTTAATTTAGCGGGGAAATGGGCAATGATCTGAGCGCCGCTCTCCCCTGCTTTTCTGACGCGCAGCCTCTCGTGCCGTAGCTGCGTAGTGTGTGTGGCGTGACTCGGCCGCAGCGCGTCTCTGCTTTCAGCGGTGCCGCTTCTGCCGACACCGACCCGAGAAGCCGTGCAGCACAAAGAGGATGATGTAAAACAAGGCTGGTGTTTGGTATCGTATCGCGTCCTAAGCCCCGCGTTCGGGCGGGTGGGATCCCGCTATGACTGCAGAGCTCTACATAAATTCCTAATCAGCCCGAGCACTTGACATCTGTATAAAGGGTCTGAAATCGATATCACCCACCGCCTGCTAAATTAATCCAGACAGGCAGGCTATTTCTCCCGTGGTTTGCAATTTTTATTTAGCTGTCTCCGCTTGTGTAGCAGGTCACCTAGAGCCCAATGAAGGTCAGGTGGAGAGGTGGATTTATATATTTTTTTTTGTAAATATCAAATATCAGAAGGCAGAAAAGTGCAGGGGTTCGCCGGGAGAGGGGCGAAGCCAGTGGTTTCACGTTAACTTGTCCACCATCGGATACCGAGGTTACAGCCGTGACTCGGGGAGGCCGTCCTAGCGGGCGGAGGCTGAGCTCACCTCTGGGGTGGAGGTACTCTATGATCTTCGGACGCATCCTCCCCTTTCAGTGTTGAGGCCTCGTAATAGCGGGCCTTGGTGGCTGAGTCGCTCAAGGGGGCCAGCAGGATGGAGGAGTGAGGGAGCGTAGCACAGTACAACGGAGTATCTGAACATGCCTTTAATCCAGGGGTGGGGAAGCTGTTCCACGGAGGGCCGGTGTCTGCGGGTTTTTGGGATGACCTCTGTCAGCCAGTAATAAAGCAGTGGTTCTCAACTCCAGTCCTGAGATTTTCCCAAAAACCCGCACCCACACTGGCCCTCCATGGAACAGATTCCCCACCCCTGCTTTAATCTGTTTCATGGGACTGTCTCCGTTCCACTGGTGCTGCTGTGTTACTTGTATAAGTAAGTTTTTGCATTGCTACACTAACAATGAATCCACAGGGAGTTGGGTAAGGGACAGTATACAGCTCTGTGCCTGTGAGCAGAGGGTTGCTGGTTCAAATCCTATGGTTGGCAGAGTGATTGCACCCTTGGGGTTAAGCAAGATGCTTAATGGCTGTTGCTCCAGGGACTGTTGGATCCTGACCTCTGATTCTTGCAGCTTCGGATAAAAACCTGCTAAATGAACGTAATGAGAGGATTATCTGAGGGCTCCCTTCGTCTGTGGCTTATTCCCCCTGTTACTGTAACGTGGGATGTTATAGGCTGCTTTGTCCTAGAAACCAGAAATCAGAAGATGTCTTCTGAGCTGTAGCAGGAATGTGCCAGTTTTGTGGTCTTATCCCCCCTCATCACGACTGAACCCTCTTTGACTAATCATGTTTACTTTCCATATTTCATTTGCTGTCTGAAAGACGACCCCACCGCTAACCCAGCCTGCTCGTCACGTTCTTCCCGTTCCCGTCCCTGATGTCAGATCGCCGCTGTTCTCTGGTTTATTAAACCCTCCCTTCGCAGGGAGGAGTTGGAGACGTTCCTGGCGAGCGGAACCCTCACCCACCTGAAGGTCTGCTTCTCGCGGGACCCCCACGAAGGGGCAGAGCCCCCACCCAAGTATGTGCAGCACAACCTCCGCCTTAACTCCCAGGCCGTCTGCGACATCCTCCTCCGACAGAAAGGCTTCTTTTACGTCTGCGGGTGAGTGGATTCCTCCCTTTTCCCCGGGGATGGGTAGGTATGAAGCAGCCCTGGGGCGGTCCTGGGGTTCTCTACACGAGCAAATGACGCCCTTCAAGTGCAGTTTGGATGCCTGAGCAGCAAGAACGAGACTCTCGCTTCCACCCTCTGATTCTTTTTTTTTTGGATTCACTTTTTTAATTTTAATTTTTTTTTTTTACCATAGGGATGCCAAAAACATGGCTAAAGATGTCAACGACACCCTGATCGACATAATTGGCGAGGAGCTGCAGGTGGATAAGCTTGAGGTGATGAAGGCAGTGGCGGTACTGCGGGAGGAGAAGCGGTACCTGCAGGACATCTGGAGCTGAGCAACTCGCTGAGCCCCACGTAGGCTTTGGTGTGTGTTTTAATCTGAAGAAGACGCAGGGCATCTATCTGCACCTCCTCGCCCGGCTCTGCCCTCTGGCTGTCATTGCTTATGGTGCCCTGCTGCCTTCTGACACTGGCACGCTGGTTTTTCCTCGCACCTTGACCTTCATTTATATTCACGGGTCGGGTCACGCTTCTGTGAAGAGCACGATTGTGTCTCTCCGGGGAACGCCAGGGTCACGTGAGGCTAACCTGCTTTTTTAAATTTTATATTTGGGGAGGGGGGACGGGGGGTTAGTCAGGTTAGTTTTATGATTTTATGATATCCTGTTCTTTTAGTTCAGCTTTTTCCTTATGAGTATATAATAAGTTTATAATAGCTATATATGAGTAAAGCCAGGTGACTGGGGGCCGCACTGTTCCCTCACACTTCCTGTGTGTGTGTGTGTGTGTGTGTGTGTGTGTGTGTGTGTGTGTGTGTGGTTTCACGTGTCATGTGGTTCTCCTGCAGTCCAGCGATATGCAGTTCGGCTGACCGACGTATTTGAATTGCCTGTAGTGTTTGTCCCCTCTGATGGACTGGCATCCCGTCAAGGGTGTTCCCCTACCGATGCTGCCTGGAATAGGCTCCGCCCCCCATTGACCGTATCCACGATAATTAGGAGATAGATGGATGAGTACAGACTTTAAAGAATTTTTATCTATAGACAAAAATTTTAAGCGATATCACACTTATAAAGTACAGGTGCCGTCCCTACCTCCAGTCCTTGTTATATTTGGGCTTCAGTATTTTTAACAACCTCAGCATCATATTTCTTTGCAAATCTATAGCAGACGCATAAAACTAGCCCTGTTGCACTGATTGCATGGATTTTTTTCCCCCCTCCTCAAGTCATTTCTCCCCCTGGAGGGGTGCTGCTGATCCTTCTTGGGTCCACCTCCCTCTATGCAGACGCCCTTCAGAACCCAAGACTGCCACTTGGGTTTCAGTTGGTTGGTTCCATAAAGCCTTACCATTCCTACTGTACCGTGTGCCTAAGTTCCAGACTCGCATAGATGCAAAAGTCTGTTGAGGCAAAATATTAGGTCTGTTTTCAATGCACCATTTAATTTCATTACTCGAAGGTCTAGGGCTGGAATCTAAGAGGAGTGCATTCCTCTCACCTTCCGTCTGAAACTTCCTTTTAATCAAGCAGTGCTTGCACAGGGATAAGCAGATAACCTCCCATCAGCTGGGCGACTGCCGGATTGACAGACAGTCGATAGTCGGCCACAAAGTGGCCATTGTGCAGTGATCTGTGAGCGGTATTTAAAGGAGGTTCATAGAACCTGCACTGCTCACCCATAATAGTTTACAGACCTCCTTTGGAGAACTTGCACGTTCTGCCAGTTAAAAGTGCCTTTAGGCCAATCTGTGTTTCTGCTTTGGAATTAGTGTACAGCGTCTGTGATTTACTGTGTGAGGAGTGTCACATTTTGGTTTGCTTTTTAGCCCTCTTGTTTTTCCATTTAAAGACATTGCAACATGGAACGGCCTTTTAATTCTGTGTGAAACATGGCACCTTGTCTCTGGAGAAATAAGAAATAAAGCGAATCCTCTTGTTACCAGTCCGTCACCCTGTGTCTCACTCTCATGTTGTCCGTGGGTTCATTACGCGGTACTGCAGTAACCTCGCCCAAAAAAAAAAAAAAAAACGTGGAAGGTGGTTAATGTGGGCTTATTAGATCAGACTGTGTTTTTGAAAAAAGGTGTGTGATTAATTGGCTCTGGGTGCCCTTTAACTGTAGACTTTGCATTATAGTCTGCAGTCTTGTTATTGCCAAGGATTCTCAGCAAATTCAGCAAGCACGGTGGTATGAAACGTGTGATCTAGGAATATATAAACATCCTATAAGATCAGTATGTTTTACATCTCTGTAACTTGCATATTAGTCTTGAGCCTTACTTTTATCTTTCAGTAAGGTTACATTAAGTGGCCATTTTTTTTTGTAGTCAGAAAAGTCTGACATCTTTTTAAGAATCTGGACTACTGTACCACATACTCCATAGATTTTTTTTTCCCCCTTTTCCTTATAAGTAAAGCCATACATGTTGAAAAAGCGAGTCTGTTTCCTGTCACATTAGAGTGTCAGATGGGCCGCATCTGTGAACCGTCCAGCGGTGTTTTGAGACTCGGGGAAAAGGAGCTGTCGTCCTTGATCAGAATACTAAATGTGCTACGTGAAAAGTAGTATGCATTCAAAAAGAATGTGCTACAGTGTCGATTTGAGGGAAAACGCCTGTGTAAGAGACAAAGACAACATTCGAGGTTTAAATGAGCTCAGGCCTGCCGCTGACAGGAGTTCTACCAGCCTCCACAACACACGGGACAGTGATGGTGCTTCCACCACTCAAACCACACATTTGAATGAGGCCCTGTTGGCCACAAACAGTCTCTACGCTATTAAATAATTACATAATTTAAAATAATAAAATGAAGAATTGAAAACTGAATTTGTAGAGCAATAGCACAGTTGTGCACAAAATATAGAAATCCACACAACGTTCAAAAGAGGACAGACAAACTTTTGGTGCACGTCTCACTGAATCATCCGTGACCAGGAGAGCAAGTTTTTGTGGTGCATCGAGAGCCAGGTTATCTAAGGTAATGTCGGAGTACCACCATGAAGGCCGGACCACAATCGACAGGAGTAAAGGTGGACAAGAGGAAGCTGTCTGACATGGATGTCCAGGTACTAACCCAGACTGTGTCCGAAAAACATTCAACCACGGCTACCCAGCTCACTGCAAAATTAAATGCACACCTCACAGCTTATAGCTACCTTTTAGCAAGCAAGTCCACTCTTTTCTGTTTTCAGTAATGTTAGTGTGCCCAGAGGCATTGGGCAGCCAGTTGACTTTGGACCTCCAGAGATTTTTTTTTTTCCTTACTTGGCAGTTTTTGTTTCCTCTCCTCCGTTGTCTTCTGGCTTTAATTTCTTTCCTTCCTTTTTCCTCGTTCTGTTTTCTCTCTAATGATGTTTCATGTATCACAAAAAGGAAGGAAAGCACTTTGGGATGACTATTGTGAAAGGCGCTATATAAAAATAAATTGAATTGAATTGAACCTCGACTTTCCTATTTCCACAGGGTCAATATTCATCGTCAGACTGCTATAGCCAAACCATTGGTCATTCAGGCGAATGCCGAATGTTGGGTTTCAATGGTGCCATCAGCATAACTCTTAGGCTATGGATAATATGAAACGTAGTGTTCTCTGAGTTCACATTCACTTTCACTTTCCTACATCCAGGGGAGTTTTGGTGTGGAGAAGCCTCAAAGAGGCTTACCACCTATACCAGTGGTTCTCAATTACGTTCCTGGCGCCCCCTGCCAGAATGTTTTCGTTCCAACCGTACCTTAATAGGCTAAAGCTGGTTACAGAACAAACGCGGCATGCGTTGTGTCTGCTCAACGCGCTGTGCTCGCACGGGGCTTCTGCACAAAGAGTAGGCGTGGTTTTCAAAACTCTCTCCTGTCATTTCGGCTCGCGGTCAGTACCGACGATGTATATTTTGCATTCAAAAAGATTCTACGCTTGTTTGATATATTGTCCGTGTCTGAGTTCCCAGAGCTATATGTTTTCCCTCTATTTGATTTTGGTGCCTTGTTTCCATTGATCGCGCGTCAATGCGTCACACCGCTCAGCAGTCAAAGTTCAACAAAGTTCATCTTTGACCACAGAGCTCGCACAAGCTCCGCGAGCGTTCTGTCTGAAACCGGCTTTAGCCTATTAAGGACCATTTGAGCCTGATTAAGGTAGGGTTGGGACGAAAACATTCTGGCAGGAGGGGTGCCAGGAACAGAATTGAGAACCACTGACCTATACTGTTGCATACCCAGAGTGCAGCACGGGGTGGATCAGGCTGCAATATCATGACATTCCTTAGGCCGACTACTTGTTCTAAATTGGTGCATCACTGGCCAAGGACAACTGAACCATTTACGGAGGACCATGTTCAGCCAATGTTTCAGACATTGTACCCTGAAGGTGGTGCCATGTATCAGGATGATAATACACTGTTCCGGTTTGATGAACGTGAAGTTGAACATCCCCCATGGCCTGACAATTTACCAGATCGAAACATTATTGAGCCACTTTGGGGTATTTTGGAGGATCGAGTCAGGAAACGTTTTCCACTACTAGCATCACGTAGTGACCTGGCCACTGTTCTGCAAAAGGAATGGCTCAAAATCCCTCTGGCCACTGTGTAGGACAGGGGTCTCCAACTCCGGTCCTGGAGAGCTACTATCCAGTAGGTTTTCAATCCTACCTGGTAAATACCAGGGCCAGGTGTGGCTCATCAGAAGCCAAGTACGATGGAAAATCTACTGGATAGTAGCTTTCCAGGACCGGAGTTGGAGACCCCTGGTGTAGGACCTGTACCTGTCATTCCCAAGATGAATTGATGCTGTATCGGCCAATAAAGGAGCCCCTACACCATACTAAAAAATTATTGTGGTCAGAAACCAGGTGTTTCAGTTTCAATGTCCAACCCCTGTAATTGCAACTTTTTAAGTGAGGCCCTAGAAACATGAATCCTACCCCAGGCAGGGATGTCAGGATGGCGATCCTCAAAGACTGGCAAAAGCTGTAGTTAAGCTAATAATGGGTGTTGAGTGATAGAAAATGAGTTCCATGTTAAGGTTGATCATGGTGCAGCTGGTTGAGTGGTGTTTATCATATTCGCTAGAGTCAGGGAGGAAACCGCACAAAATGCCCATGGTGGCTGTCATCGCATAACAAAGTGAGGAGGGCTTCTGGCTGGCCCTGCTAATCAGCCCCAGGGTGACACAGCTAATTATGAAGCCAACCGGCCTGACCGAAGAAATTAAGAAAACTCATTATGTTGTGAGGGGGAGTTCTCATGAAAAAAAAAAAGTTGACTCATTCAAATTTTAGTAGAAAGCTTTTTATACATGTGGTAGTCCTTGTTGTTTTTTTAACATACAGACAAAAAAAATATTTAGCCATTTAAACTTTTGAAATGTTGGGTCTTAAGCATAATTCTGCATGAGATATTTAAGTCACGTTCCCGTAATAACGGGCACATCTAAGGTGCAAGGTTGTCCACAGACTTTAATACTCCTTTTTTATTAGGTGGGTAATGTTTGCCACACACCAAAACTACCCATATATCACTTATCCTGTACAGGGTTATGGACTCAACCAACTGTCAGAGATTCCTCACTAGCATAAAACAATTAATGCACGACTGCTTCTTCCCCCTATGATCTTTAGTTAGAACTTCCCAAAGGTCACTTTCTTGTCACTGCTGCCTGTGGGGCAGGGGAATGATTTGTAACCTTAACCCTAATGATGGAGGTAACTTAAATGTCAGGCTCACCTGAGCTGTTATGCTGATGACACCAGCCTCCAAACCATTCCCTGAGGGTGAGGGCTGGAAACTAGAAACAAATGCAATTGCTTTTTTCTGGAAATAAAATGCATGGTTGGTTATGGAAGTAAGTAGGGTTGGGTTCAATGGATGAGGACCTAGAGTTATTTGCCAAGAAAAATGTTTGGGGTACAGTAAGTATCAGTGGTGTCAAAAATCAAAAGATCTCTATTACTACTTTACTTCTGTATTTAGCCATGAGGGCAGACTTCAAGACTGTATGGAATTCGACCAGAAATACGAATGAAATATAATTTCTTTGACTCCTATTCTTTGGTCAGGAAATCATTTCAAAGCAGTCAATATAAGGTATATAAAAATTAGGTATTGGAATACTACTTCAGGTGTTTCATTTGTCCAGAGATGGTGGCTACAGAGAATGTAACGGACAAAATTCAGGCTGTTCTAAATTAATATTAGGTCAGCAGTCAGAAGCTGTGAGACTTGAGTTGTGTTTCTGTATTTTTGGGGCTCGCTCCTCTTCATTCTTCAAGCCCACCTGAGGCTTTGGACCCGTCTGCTAAGGCAGGTTGTGTGGCCACAACGGGACACGATGATGCAGGAATGGAGGAGGAGATGGTGTGTGGAGCCTTGGGGCTTTTGGTGGTCTTTAGAAACCTACTTAAGGAGCTGCCTTCATTTCTTCGTGACCGTCTGAGTGCTTCTCTCCTGCATTGTCGTTACTGAATTCAATTAGGCTGCACATCAAAAGCAGAACGCAGCCATTTTCTGTCCCCTGAGGCACAAAAGCAAGTCCTGAAAAACAAACCAAAAAGGGCTTAAGGAACAATAATATCCCAAATTTAAGTTCCTAGATGTCACACACAAAATCAGACATTTTTATGAGTTTTTTTTTTTCTTTCAACTCATGGGAGGCCATGCATACAAAATAACAACAAAGCAATGCTTTAAAGAGCAAAACTGACAATACTGCAGTATGTCTCTGGATGTAAAGACAAGCAATAAAGACAAACCATTTGTGGAATATAGAATCTGTTACAGCTGCATGCATTGGAATCTTTGCTGACCATCGCCCATGGAAAAGACTGTTAATAAAGGCTGGTTTATGAGGCGGTCTGCGCTGTTTTTCTATGACTGACCCTTTTCCTTTTGGGAATAGACAATGAGAAATGCCTCTCTCAGTCATGCTTACCATCTGACCTTTGCAGTGAGTTCCACCGCTGCCGGCCAACGTCTCCACACCTACAGTGACAAACTCGCCCCTCTGGTGAGCAGTGAAGCTCTACGTATGAATTCATTTTCTCATGGCTGGGGTTCCAAACAGAATAATATAGGAATAAATTGTCATTGACTCACCCAAGGTTCCCTCCCCCAGGACTGACACAGTGTCACAATCACACCGTGAATGATTTGCTTGTCCTGCATAAGTGGTTCCGACACTTGATAAAGGGGGTGATCTCAATGACAGAGCATCTGCGGATCCAAGTTCAAATCCCAAATGCATTATACTTAACATTAATCACTTCAGGAAATAACAGCTGTCATATTGATAACAGTAACAATTCTGATGCAAATTTGCTCAAACAACAGAGAAAGTTGTCCCAAAAGGTCACTAATGGAAAACAACCAAACAACAACCAAAGCACATTATAGCTAATGTTTAAATGCAAATTCAACATTCAAAACCTGTTATAAACTGACAAAACCAGGAGCACATTTAGACTACCTTGGTTTTTTTTTCCTTAACACTATTGTTATCCATTGAGGATTAACTTCTTTGCATATTAGTTAATCAGTGATAAGTCCATCCATTGATGTGTGTGGTTTCCTAAAATAAGCCACCTTCACAAAGAAAAGGAAAGGAGCATAGTGGTTAAGGTTGTGATTTCAGGGTATTTTTGTCCTGAGGTGTTCTGTTTTTGTACCTGATATTTAACCTGAATTAGTTTTGGAACACACTTGCCACATTGTGTATAGAAAATCATCTTGTGTAAAACAACTTAAAATCAAAACACCATGCAATTAAGCTTAACATTTTAAGGTTAACCTTCTCACCACAGTAAAATGCAAAAGAACCCTTTAGGAGGGAATAATACCAATCAGACTCAATGAAATTATGTTTCCCAAATTTCTTTATAATGATAAACACAACAAAGCCGTGAAACCTTCATTTACAAATGAACAAAGAGCTAAGTAACAAACTGAGAGATTAGGACGTCATGGCAGCCGGCTTGTTCGTTACATGCTTTGATAATAAAAACGCGACTCCCAAGCTGGAGTTCTGACGTGTTTTCTTACGATAACAGATTGTTGGCAATAGGATTAAACAAATCTCTAAATGCACAGATTATAAACCTTTTTAATCCCCACTCAGGCAACTAAGCTGTACTAAATCTGACGGACACCAATGGCGTTCATTTGCTGCGCAGTATGGAGAAATCCCACTTATACGTTATGAACTCAGTAGTCTGTTTATTAGGCACACCCGATATGTCATGCAAACCGGCTGTTCCCAATAACTGAGAATCATATGTGTCTGAAACTTAATATATACAGCGCACAGACCAGGAGAAAGGGCTCACTTACTCACTGCGCGTGATGGGGGAACTAAGAGATTTTCGATGTGGTTCATCATGTTTTTCCAGCATTTCAGAAGCAGCCACCTTCTTGGGATTTTCACATAGTGACATGTTTAGAGTATGTATAGAGGATGGTGAAATGATAATAGCAATAATTAATAGTAATAATCGACAGATAGAATGCACATGTTACACGTCTTATTTATTTCATTTATTGTTTGTTTGGTTGAAAACAAATTCTTCCTACCCATAAGTATCATTGGTTTGGCATTTATTTTAGCACAGGTTTTTATCCCAAACGACGTTTTTTTTCCCCAAGAAAGCAGGGTCAGACAGTCCCTCGGGCAATTGGGGGTTAAGGGCTTTGCTCAAGGGTGAAATCAGCCACAGGAACCAATCGAAGGCATAGCATATTACCCCGGCTGAGCCGCACACCGTACCTCAAAAGCGGAAAAACCCAAGGCACTGCTGGGATTCGAACCCAGGATCTCCTGTTTACTAGACAGGCGCTTTAACCAACTAAGCCACAGCGCCACCTTACGAAGCTAGCTTGCTTACGTCCACTGCGGATTCACTAGATCTATGAATATAAGAGTAACTGTTGTTGGGGAGTACCTAGTTGTATGTAACTCCGTTGCATAACGAAATTACAAAATAAATGAAATTGTAATGTATTACGGTTACTGAGAAAATATGCGTAATTATATTACATTTACTAATCAAAATGTGGGTGATTACAAAGGAGGTTACATCCGAATATATTGTTTTGGTAAAATGCTTATATGTAGAATATAACATTCATTTTACTGGTTTGCGTCTTTGCATTGCTTTATTGTCCAGTTTAAAACATTTGTTAAAAAAAAGTAATCAAAAGGAACTCAAATATAATAAGTTACTTAACTTTAATGAAGTAATCACAAACAAACGCACAACTAATCAACATTTTTAACAGGGTAACTAATGATCTGTAACGTATTACATTTCAACTGATTACATTTAACCAATCTGCCTTGTGGTACTCCCGTTTATCCAGTTAATCCTATTAACTAGATAGCTGCAAAACATTTCTTACAGTTGACTTAGGGTTAACCAAGTGTAACAGTTTCCTATAGTAGCCTAACTGCTTTGATTTTTTTGCAACACACCTGCTTTTCCTTTGCTCACTTGGTATATTTTATCAAATGAGTTTGTTTAAACAAGTTTTATCATATGTAGTCATTTTTAATAAACTGTTTCACTGTGTGAAATGCCAAAACTGTGCGACTATCACCAAACAAAGGCAAACATTTTTAAGAGCCACTAACTGTTTAAATATTTTGTATCCGTAGCTGTGTTAATGACTAATTAAATGCAGGTGTGGCTGATTAGCTGCCAGCCAGTTTCTGTATCTGTGTGTAACGTTTGCTGTGATGAACTGAGTTGCAGGTGTGTTTACTTTCCAGCAGTGCACTACTGCAGTGTTTGGTCCTTCTCATGGGAAATGATCACAAGTGCAATGAAAAAATGTGTGCACTGAATTTAATATAAACCCCATGCAATGTTTTTAGTGTCTGAGATGTATCTTGGATATTCTAAAACAATGAAATATGGTTATCTTTGGTTTGCTGGATACACAGTAGCACACAGTATAGGCTGACCCAAGTCACAGGTGACATACAGTAGATTTTCACTATTGAGAGAACGCCATTTTCAAGAGGTGAAACAAAATGAGTACTGTGCATGTTTCTTTATTATTATTATTATTTGGGAGAAAAATTCATTCTTTTTTTTTGCTTTTCCCATGCTGACTCATTGTGTGTATGACTTGCTTTGCGGATGAGGTTAGTTGCTCTCTGCTCTTCTGAGATACACTTCCTCTTTTGATATTACTCCTCTAAGCTCCTCTGAATGTCCTGAAAATCAGAGCTCTGCAATTTCACCAAACATAGACGGATGGCCTCTTGGTGTGCGGCCTTGCATTTCTAATGAAACGCATACACATTCATATAAATTATTAGAATTAGTTTATATGTGAAATGTTGAATGCGGCTTTAATGATTCACAGGGTACAAATTCATTTCTATTTTAATGTTATATTTTTTATATTTTATTTTTCGTACGTGGATTACTCGTTTAGCCGGATGTAATTGTTGACGGTTTGGTATGGCATGATCCTGGATCTGTCGGTTTTTCGAAACTCTTGCTTGATCTGGAATTATGACATACAGTAAAATCCCGTTATAGCGGACTCTTATATAACGGAATTTCGCTTATAACGGACAAACAATTCGGTCCCCAGGGCCGCTTTTGGCTGTAGTTTTGTTCAGCTATAACGGACATGAAGTTCCGCCTACAAGGCGCGTGGCGTGCCGGTGATATCCAGCGCAGATACGTAGTCGGGATTATTAATAGTCACGCATCTGCTCAGGTAAAGTTGGATCACTACATGTACAATATAATAATCTATACCACAAGTGTATTTGCTGGGGTGTGGCATGAATAAATGGTGCCCTGTAGTTGTATTCTGGACAAACAGCAACTCTGGATATAACGGACTGTTTTGCCAGGTCCCTTGAAGTCCGTTATAACTGGATTTTACTGTATTAAATAATAATTAATCTGACACATAGGAAATGAAGTGCACTGAACACTACTTCCGCGTTTAATTTGTCGGCCACTTTTTGCCAGCCGCCTTTTCTGGTTTGGGCTGCTTTTGCCGTGTTACCCCTTGTGAATATTAGTTCTTGAAATTCTTCATATCCTCCTAACACGAGGTCCTGCTCCACTGGTGTGAAAAAATCCGCCCTTTCATCATTTTCTACCAGCCTATGAAAGACTTGTCGATCATGTTTTCTTTTCAAGCAGCGCGGGCGCGCACAGTCATCTCTGATGAATGGATCCAGCTAGACCCCTATTATTCAAATCACGGCCCTCGAGGTCCGAGCACTGCTGGTTTTCCAGCCTTCCTTTACCTGTGAGCCAGGTGTGAAGCCTCTGACCAATCAGAATCAGTAATTATTAAACTAACTATCTGGGAGAACTGAAAACAAAGCCTGGATTTGGAATCGAGGTCTAGATTTGAAGAACCCTGAGCTAGACTAATCTAACACACAGCTGCGTTTGAAAAACTGACTTATCCCGGATGAGTCTCACTGGCATTAGCTCATCCAAGATGAGGCGCCTGATCTTGGATGATTTAAGCGACGTACGGAAAATACCCCCCTTGTGTTAATGGTCTGTATGCTTCTTTTACAAATGTCAAACATGTTTGCTGGCTTTACTACAGTAGACTGGCATCCCATCTTGGCTGTTTCCCTGCCCCTTGTGGATTGTGGGGTAGGCTCTGTAACCCTCTGCTTGTTCCGTGGTATCGGATGCGTGGATTAATTAGTCGCCAGATATTCCATATCAGGAAAGACACTTTGAGCTACTTCAGGTTTTAAAAAACTACTTTAAAACTGAAAGGCTCCTGTGCTTGGCTAAATAGTACAGTTCTTCTTGTGCTTTGACTAATTTGTTTCCTTGATTGAAAGACTCATTCAGCAGTTTCACATTAACATCAGGCACGTGTCACTAATTATAGGAGACTGGCCAATCAGCACACAGCAAGAACTCAATGCTTAAGTGAAATCCATGTCCTTTTAATTTAAATGGCTGTTTACAATTCCTGTCCTAGCTCAAAGTGTCCTGCCTGACATGGATTATCTGGTCACCCAAGGATTGATAAATATGCTGGTCTTGCAAAGTATTTACGATTTAAAGAAAGTCTTGAGTTTAAAGGCAGATTAATTATACTGTACCGAGTACATCAGTAATTTGGTTTGCGGGTGCCTTGTTACTGCCATCAGTGCTACTGCACATGATGGTTCGAAGTTTCTCGTGGTCATGGGCGTAATTTCCAGGGGGGTTAGGGGGGTCATGACCCCCCAATAATCCGATCCAGCCAATATAACCCCCCCAATAATCATGTTTCCCCTGTAATGGGTGGAGACCTCGACCCCCCCCCAATGTTCCAGCCAAAGTTACGCCCTTGCTCGTGGTCAATCCATTGCTGAGTAACCGATACAGCATGAGGAGGGGGCTGCTGTGTTTAATTTTCGTTCGATCCGCATCCCAAGCGAACGCCAGTAGACGTGCATCTCGTGCCAGACGACGAGCAAATGAGCGCAGGCTGTGATGTCACGCCTCGTTTTCCAGGAAAAATTAAAGGAAACTGCAGCTCAGCTCAGCTCAGAATGTACCCTGGTATCTGCATCCTGCGTCGCTCAAACTTGAGACACGCAGAGTATTAACGGCAAGTGCGGCCACGCTATTAATGAACTCCATCCTGCCTTCCTTCACAATGAGATGCACGCTTCGCTATTGATTCCCCAGGCCCTCAGGGTACTGTGTTTAAACTCCGATTAATGGGGTGAAACCGGATTGGAAGCCGTGACGCTAGGAGGAGGAGTGCATCTGCGGTCGCACAGGCCTGCGAGGGTGTTTATTCAGTAGCTGAGGTTGCATGCTGGCTTCCTGACAGTCACGAATGAGTTTGGCAATCCAGCAAAAGCACAACACGCAGAAAAAGAGATCAACTAAACAGAGACTGAATAGGGCTTCCTCTCAGTCTGAATTTATTTATTTTTTTATCAGTTTTGTGATGCAGAATTTAGTCATGAATGTAGATACCTGTATAGCAGGTATTATTATTTTTTACGCAGTGGTGTATCTTTTGTCACTTGTACAATTGCTAGGCTACAGATAATTGCATTTTTCTCAGCATTTAAAGTTTTTTTTTCCAGATAAATGTGTGAAGTGTCTTCCAAAGGACCAGGAATGTGGCTGTTCCTGGTTAAAGTTTCAAAAAAAGAGTTAAGCTTGTTTCACGGTAGGTTTCAAAGAAACCCCAGGAATTCCCCTGGGACGGGTTCCAGGAGAAATGTTTCTGCTTCACTGTATGTGAATATGGCAGATAAACAGGGAAAAATCCATATCTTTTTCTGTCTGATCTTCACATTTAAACCCGTAACAGAATCAGATTTATAGCTGAACTTGTAATACTGTTGTAAAAAGGACTACAAAGTACGTAACAAATGAAACAACAAAGTACATTTACTGCCAGTCAGTGCTTTCACCCATGAAAAACTAAAACCTACTTTACAGTGTTTGCAAAAAAAAAATCACCACACAAACCTCGCAAATTAAAATCTACCCCGTAACTGTCTGCATCTTAAAACGAATGAACCGAAATGTCGTCAGTCGTTACTGTTCGTATGTGATTCGCTGGTGTCCGTATCTATTTCTGGATTTTCGCTAAGAGCTTCATGCCCTGGTGACAGTTTGCTCTCACTTTCTTAATGGTTTTTCGACACTCTGGCCCGTTCCATCCTCATTAGGCAAAAGACAATATCATAAATTGTTCAGTGTCTGTTTCTCTTGGTGATGGATGTGGGAATTCTGGAATTTATGCTCATCCTGACAGCTGTAATGGTGTTTGCAAATGAATGATTAATTAGACTTGGGCATGGAGAGTATTCTGGAAGAGCTCTATGGTTGGGGACGTGCTCAGACTGAAAGTGACAATGCCACACATACAAT